CCTATATTTCTTCCTCCATGCAACTAGTTGACGTGTTTACGAAATCGCATTCCACTCAACGCTTTTATTTTTTGACTAGCAATGATTCCCCTTGATGCATCGTGAGTTTGAGGGGGGATGTTAGATATTATAGTTTTGAATTTCTATTGTTTTACCAAGTAAGGATAGTTTAGTATTTTCACTTATTGGACATATATATACTCTTGTAATGAGGTAATTGGGTAGATTTGAAACCCCAGCCACTTTTGGTTGTCTCTTCTCTTTCTCTTCTCCCTCTCAATAGCAGTTGCAATTGTTTACAAGCCAAACCAATATCCACTACAATAGGAATTCTCAAAATTCCTGCTATCACAAGAACCATAAGAACAACGCTCTCAGTCAGTATAAAGGGCATACTTCATCTGGCGTCAGAAATTTCAATAACAGACGCAAGAACACTAACATTACTTGCCAAATCTACAATAAATTTGGCCATTCTGCATTTAAATGTCGGCATGGGCATGATCACACCTATCAGCCTCCAACTAATCTCAATTCTAACTCAATCTCCAATCATGACAACAATTGAATCCTGGATAGCGGCGCTAGTGAACACCTTATATCAAATTCAACTCAGTTGCACAACATCAACACTATAAAGTTGACAATTTTATCACCATTGGAAATGGACATCACTTTCCTATTGCTCAAACTGGTCAGGGGCTCGTTCCGACACCTATGTGTAAGCTCTTACTTTATAACATTCATCATGTACCTAATCTAGCTTACGGTTTACGTTCAGTCCATAAGTTAACTACTCAAATCTATTACATTATTACTTTTATTGCTAATGGCTATTCAATTAAGGATATGCAGACCAAAACAAATACTCCTTGAGGGATCATGCATACAAGGGTTGTATCCAATAAAATCTCTCAGCAACTCTCCAACACCACTCAAAATTTAGCCCTCATATCAGTCCAAGAAGTTCCAAATCTATGGGACAGAAGAATCGGGCATTCCCATCATAAAATCCAGCATGTTTTTTCCCCCTCTATTCCAAGTTTACAGCATATTAGTAATAAGACTCATTGTACTTCATGTAATATGTCCAAAAGTGGAAAGCTATCTTTTCATAAATCTATTACTAGTGCTACAACACCTTCACATCAAAATTATAAATATTATATCATTTTTGTAGATGACTTTTCCCATTTCACTTGACTATATTTTCTTAATCATAAAGATGAAACCTTCACTACATTTAGAGAAATTAAAAACTTAGCTGAAATCAACCCAATTCTCATATAAAAAACATTAGAACAGATAGCGGAGGTGAATACTAGAATTCTCAATTCAAAAGCTTCCTAAATCAATTTGGCATTCAACATTATTATACCTACCCTTACAATCCTAAATAAAATGAAATCGCTAAAAGAGAGCACAGGTATCTTATTGAGACAGTTCGAACTCTTTTAAATGAAGCTTCCCTTCCTACAAACCTATGGGTTGATACATCACTCACTGCTAGCTATCTCATCAATAAGTTACCTACAGAAATTCTGAAATATATATCACCACATGAGACTTTATACAACAAACCGCCAACCTATAAGCATTTAAAAATATTTGGTTGTTGATGTTTTCCATGACTCAAGCCCTAGTTCAAACATAAACTTCATCCTCTTTCTAAAGAGTGTATTCCTTGGCTATACTCCCTTTCAAAAAGGTTATAAATGTCTAGACATTCAAACAAACAAGACCTATATCTTTCGACATCTAATATTTAATGACATGTGTTTCGATATTAGAAAAATACTTTTTTTTTTCAAAACAGCACACAAACTTCACATTACATCTATCTCCACTTCTTCTCGTACCATCTAGTATTGTTTACCCTTTCAAAATATCTTCCAATACCATCAAGTCTCCCACAACTGACTCCATCACTCTTCGGAATACTTATCCAGATTCCATCTTGCCCATTGAACCAACCCTTTGTCATAACCATGAACAAATCCCTCCTCCTTCACCTATTCCTACAAAATATCACATGCCTACCAGAACTAAAATAAGTAACCTTAAACCCAGGACAATTCTTAATTTCATTCATCAAGCCATTAGTCATCCTACAACTTTATGCCTGTATAAAATGAAAACTGGAAACAAGCTATGTCATCTTAATTCCAAGCATTACAAGCTCAAAGGACATGGGAATTGGGACCTCCCACATCCCAGCACAACATTCTTGGTTGCAAGTGGACATTCAAGGCTAAAATCAATTCAGACGGGAGAGTTGCTCGTTACAAAGCCAGGCTTGTTAACCAAGGGTTCAAACAACAAGAAGACAAAGATTACCTAGAAACATTCAATCTTGTTGATAAAATATTTATTGTTCGTGTCTTCCTAACCATAGCAGTCACTTTCAACAGGCGGATTCTTCAATTGGATGTATCAAATGCTTTCCTTCAAGGAAACATACATGAGACTGTCTATATGCAACAACTTAAAGGCTTCATACATCAACTTCATCCACCTCATGTACCAACCCTTTGTCATAACCATGAACAAATCCCTCCTCCTTCACCTATTCCTACAAAATATCACATGCCTACCAGAGCTAAAATAAGTAACCTTAAACCCAGGACAATTCTTAATTTCATTCATCAAGCCATTAGTCATCCTACAACTTTATGCCTGTATAAAATGAAAACTGGAAACAAGCTATGTCATCTTAATTCCAAGCATTACAAGCTCAAAGGACATGGGAATTGGTACCTCCCACATCCCAACACAACATTTTTGGTTGCAAGTGGACATTCAAGGCTAAAATCAATTCAGACGGGAGAGTTGCTCGTTACAAAGCCAGGCTTGTTAACCAAGGGTTCAAACAACAAGAAGACAAAGATTACCTAGAAACATTCAATCTTGTTGATAAAATATTATTGTTCGTGTCTTCCTAACCATAGCAGTCACTTTCAACAGGCGGATTCTTCAATTGGATGTATCAAATGCTTTCCTTCAAGGAAACATACATGAGACTGTCTATATGCAACGACTTAAAGGCTTCATACATCAACTTCATCCACCTCATGTATGCAAACTAAAGAAAGCTATTTATGGGCCAAAGCAATCTCCTAGACAATGACACGATACCCTTACAATATACCTCAGCAAGTGAGCTTCAGAATTGGCTCAACTGATCCTTCATTATTCTGCTACCATAAAAACAACACATACATATATCTACATCCTGATATATGTGGATGATATTTTAATAGCTGGAAATGATTCTGAAACAATTGACACCACTCTCCACGGTTTTCATGGAAAATTCGAGATGAAAACACAGGGAACCACTAAGAAATTTGTTGGTATAAATTCTACCCACGCTTCAGATGGCCTACACCTAAATCAAACTGCCTACGCTCAACAAATCCTTCATACTTTTGACAAGTTCTAAATATGTTCAAAATCCCACTAATACGAGGAAATCTTATTAGCAACCTAATCAAACAACTTTAATGATCCCTCTTTTTATCGTAAACTAATTGGCTCCTTGCAGTATTTAACTCTCACAAGGCCTGACATAACCTACGTTGTAAATCAAGCCATTTAAACAATGCATCAACCAACTCAACACAACTTTCAACAGTTAAAACGTCTTCTCCGATATTTACAAGGCACTACAGATCTTGGTCTACTAATAATCAGAGGGAATTTTAAACTCAAGGCTTGCTGATGTAGATTGAGTTGGCGATCCTATCGATCGGAATTCTACAATTAGTTTTTGTGTATTCCTAGGATCTACACTTATCTCTTGGTCTGTTAAAAAATAAGTTACCATTGTTAGGTCTTCAACTGAAATTGAATATAGAGCTTCAACAACGACTAAGACAAAAAAAGTCTGGCTAAGAAGATTATTTTAAGAATTTCAAATCCCTTTAAATTCTTCTATTACTCTATATTGTGACAACAACTCTCCAATAACTCTTGCAAACAACCCAATCTTTCATGCTTGAACCAAAAATATAGAAATAAATTGTCACTACATTCGAGAATACATAAAAAAATAACTAAATTGTAGTTCATCGTGTCAATACAATCGATCAAATAGCTGATCTATCTACAAAACCTCTTCCCAATTTCACGTTCAAGTATCTCAGCAGCAAACTGACAATCTCAAACAAAGACTACCAGTTTGAAGGCGGGTGCAAAGTCATAGCTTTCGAGCATCTGAAATATCCTTTCTACTGTTCATCACCGATTCAAGTCTGTCAGTCACTGGCCTAGTTCTGCTTGCCCTGTTCTATTATGTTTGTTTATGGTCTTGTTGTCCCTGTGTTACTTGTCTTCCTATCTTGTAATTCTATATATAGAGGGTCATATATCCTCTCTCGTAACTCCCTTCATTTTCAAAAGATCAAGAAGTCTGTGATTCAACATTATCTACTCTCAAATTTACTAGCAAGATCTTTCCAAAGTTTCGGGATGCATACTCCCAAGTTCCCCATCTTTCAGAATCAAAAGAATACAGTTTTCATGCTCATCATTAGCTACAGAGCTGATGTTTGGGGAAGGATATATGACTTCTTCTCGATTCATTAGAACTACGAACTAAGCAATGTGATTAGTACCATGATCAAATGAACCATTTAGCTTTCATCCAATTTCAGCAGCATTAAATCCCACTTAGAAATGATAGGACATGATCAAGATTATAGCATTTCAACACACGTCCATTCTAAATTACACCCACCACAACCTTGAGAAACTGCACCCTAAAATTTCACGAATTACGGCATTCCGTTCCTGTCATTACATGAAAAACGTAGCTGCAGAATCCGATAACATAATCAAGAACAACTTTAACAAACACAAGGAAGCAATTTGCAACCAGAATCAACCGAATCACCGAATTCTAACAGCCCAATCAACCAGACCGTAATCCCTCTCGGCAAACTACCTTGGAGGCGTTTCAAATCAAATCAAAGGATCCAATAAAAATGAACAAGAACTACCTTGGAGACGTAATCCCTCTCGGCAAACTTGAAGGCGATCCCAAGGCATCCAAAAAGAACAGAAACGCGAGAGCACGCATCTGAGAAGTTAACAGACTCGATGGGCACAGACTTGGAGTTGACCGTCTCCGCCAGACCGTCGAAAGCACGGCTTGTCCTCTTCGGCCGCCATAGGTGAAGAACCTTCCAGGGCTTAATCTCTCCCCTTGCTCTCTAGCGCAAGCTCGCTTGGCGTTAGGGTTCCGGAGTTTAGCCTCTGCTTCTAATCTCTGGTATGCCTTGGATCCACCATTTCCCAACAATGAAGATGCCATCGCCTGCCGAGCAGGACAAAATATTGCATCTGGACCGTGTGTTGTGTTATGGTGCCGCTTTTTAAATTTTCTTTGAGAGCTGTATTTTTTTCATCAAGTATGATTATTTGTGGTCAGTGCTAAAAAATTATGTTTAATTTTTGCCCCAAATAGACCCTAAAAAGTATTAGCAAAAGCGAAAATTCATATTTTTGCGGGTGACCCTACTCGAATCCAACTTGTTTCTTCGAAAACAAAATCACACATTTCCATATGTTTCCATTTCCATCATATTTTGCCATAAGTAGTGTTTCATGATTAGATTTTCTCATGTGATTTTGATAGCTTGGGTTTCATTTGTTTGAAATCTCTCATATTGTGGGTGGCCTAACGCAAAGCTTTGTGTTTTCATCTTTAGTTGTCGGGACCTCTCTCTTTCTCGCAATGTAAGTTGTTAATTTGATGTTTTTGTTTTCAGAAACTCATGTTAGCTCAAGATTTAGTGTTTATGGTACAAACTCATGTATTTATTTCTTTTAGTTTTCAAAGAAGCTAAATATAGAAGAATGAAAAAAAAGAAAGAAATGAAGTCAGAAAACCAAGTGGTCCACAATGAGCATCTAGGTAAATTGGAAATAAGTTTGGTTGCTTTTCAAAAGTTTATTCTATAGGATTTTGATTATATGTAACTGAGATATGTATTGCATCATATACATTTACCTCTTTTGTTTAACGAAAAACTTAACAGCTAAATAAATCATATGTATTGATGATTTTGTATTGAAAGAGAAAGTATTTTACCTTGTAGGATTTATCACATGTACAATCAGTTCAATACTACCACAAAACAAGTATAATACCACCCTACTTTCACACTAATAACACCACAAGATCGCCACATTTGTATCACAATAACAACATGATACAACCACAGAATTACCACAATACATGTTATTGGAGCGGTAATTCTGCGTTATTGTGGGGGTAGTTTGGTGAAATTATCATGTTAATTTGGCATTACTATAGGTGTATTTTTATGATATCTTGATTGTTAAGTGATGTTATTGTGGTAATGTTGTGATATTCTGGAAGAAATTTTAGTGGTATCCTACAGTTAAGTTAGGGTTATTGGGTGGTAAAGTGGTGTTATTGTGGGGGTAATTTGGCGGTATTATCATGTTAATTTAGTGTTACTATGAGTGTGTTATCCCGTTATCTTGATTTTTAAGTGGTGTTTTTAGGGTAATGTTGTGGTATTTTAACTAAAATTTTGGTGGTATCCTGCAGTTAACTTGGTGTTACTGGGGTGATAATGTGGTGTTATTGTGAGAGTAATTTGGTGGTATTATCATGTTAATTTAGTGTTATTATGGGTGTATTTCTCTGATATCATGATAGTTAAGTGGTGTTATTAGCGTAATGTTGTGGTATTCTGGAGGAAATTTTGTGATATCAAGTTGTTAAGTTGGCATTATTGGAGTGGCAATGTGATGTTATTGTGGGGGTAATTTTGTGGTACTATCATGTTATTTTGTTGTTACTATGGATGTATTTTTTCTGATATCGTGATTATTAAGTGGTGTTATTAAGGCAATGTTGTGGTATTCAGGAGAAAATTTTGGTGTTATCTTGCAGTTAAGGTGTAATTGGGGTGTTAATGTGATGTTAGTGTGGGGGTAATTTCGTGGTATTATCATGTTAATTTGGTGTTACTATGGGTGTATTTTTCTAATATTTGATTGCTAAGTGGTGTTATTGGGGTAATGTTATGATATTCTGCAAGAAATTTTGGCGGCATCCTGCAAGTAAGTTGGTGTCATTTATGTGGTAACGTGGTATTATTGTGGTGATAATTTGGTGGTATTATGATGTTAATTTGGTGTTATCATGTTAGTATCTAAGTTTTATTCTGGTTTTGATTTGTTGTTATTATGGTGGTAATTTGGTTTTACTTTGGTTGTCTTGTCGTATTGAATTGGTGTTACTGGGTGAATTCAGGTATTTTAGTATTGAATTGGTGTTATTATGATGTTATCTTAGAGGTATTTTGTTTTTCAGTGTTGTGACTAAAATGATAATTTGGTGATAATATGATGTTATCTTTTTATTGAATTGTTGTTTTAATGAAGATATTTTAGGATAAATAAGATGTATTTTAAGTGTTAATTTGGAGTTATTATTGTGATATGTAAGTTGTATTCTGGTTTTGATTTGTTGTTATTAGGGTGGTAATTTGGTTGTACTTTGGCGATATTGCGCTATTGAAGTGGTTTTATTGTGGATGTATCTTGGTGGTAAATTGGGGTTAATTTGGTCTTCAATTGGTATTATTTAGGTGTCATCTTTGTGGTATTTTGTTTTTCAATTAGTTTGAATAAATTAATGTTTTGGAGGTAATATGATGTTTATTGAATTGTTGTTTTCATAGATTTATTTTAGGATAAATTGGTTGAATTTAGTTGTTAATTTAGTGTTATTAAGGTGATATCTAAGATGTATTCTAGTTTTGATTTGGTGTTATTAGGGTGGTAATTCAGTTATTATAGTGTTATCCTAGTAATAATCTTTTTTTTCAATTGGTTTTATTCAAATGAGAAGGTGTTATTATGATGTTATCCTATTCGAATATGTTTTTATGAGAAGTATATTATTGGTAAATTGTGAGTATTCTGGTCTTGAATTTGTGTTATTATGGTGTTATCCTAGTTAGAATCTGTTTTTCAATTGGTGTTATCCTAGATGGTTTTCTCATATAGGTATTTTGATGGTAAAATGGTTGTATTAAGTTGTTAATTTGACATTATTATGGTGGTATCCTAGTAGTGTTAATATGATTCTACCTAGACATTGTTTTCTTTTGCAGGGATGTTCAACTGTAGATGTCGACCATTTGTTGTTAGATCTGTTCCTGGTGTGGTTAGACATACCTTAATCGAGGAGATAGTAAATACGCTGAAGGTTGTAAATGTGTTCCAATTTTTTAATATGTATGCATATCAACAAGAAAACATCATAATATTATTTGTCGGTCAACATAAAAAATGTTCGCAGATCAAACAAATGTAATAAAATATTTAGTTTATGTAATCGAGCCACGCTAAGAAGACATGTGTTTATTCCTCTGGATAGGTATATTATTTGTGGTGTGGTGCTCAATTATTTAAACAATTAAATGTGTGAGATCTTTTGTCGCATTTTCAGAATTAAAATATTATTTTCAAAAAATCAAAACTATATGTACACTAAATCAAAAAAGCGATCGTAAGAGCCAAACACAAGCTGTTCATGGATAACGAGTTTTTATGACAGCCTTAATCATATCAATTACATCATTACTTTAACTTTTATATATTATTTATTTATTATTTAATTAACTTAAGCCAATACGAGTCGAACATGATCAAATAAAAGTTTGTTCATGTTTGGCTCGTTTATAAATTGAGCTCAAAAAATCTATTTGTGCTCGACTCGTTTTCTTAACAAACAAATCAAACATGAGCTCCTTAGCGAGTCGTACACTAACTATTCACGAATGATGAGCTTTTTTGACAGTCCTTCTCACAATATTCATTTATTCAAAAAGTTGTAACATAATTAAAATTATATATTACACTACAATAACACCAATCACTCATCCCATTAAGTGGGGTTGGCTACATGAGTACATGAACATTTTTTCTCCATTATATCAGTGTCATATTTTCATTAATAAAATAAGATCATTTTAAATATAATATGCCTAAGTCTTTTTAGGTCTACCTTTGTCTTTCTTAATATAAGTTTAAAACATCTACTATCCTAACCAGATCATCAGATGGTCGATTTTAATGTGACCAAACCATCTAAGACGACTCTCTCTAATTTTATCTGTCACTGGAGCTACACTATCTCTTTAATGAATACATTCGTTTTGCATATTGTCTCAAGCCACTGACCTAAGCATTCTCATCTCAGCAACACTTAGTTTTATGCTTCTCTTTTAAAAGCCAATACTCTGCGACATAAAGCATTTTAGGTCTCACCGCCATCTTATAAAATTTTCCTTTAAGTCTATGTGATACTTTTCTATCACACAATAGGCTTAATGAATTCCTTCACTTCAACTAAAAAACTTGAATTCTACTAATAATATCCTCATATATGTCACCATCACATTAAACAATACACCCAAGATGTTTAAAACGTTCACGCCTTTTAATGATTTGATCACCCTGTCACTAGAACTACTGCTATTAAAATTACATTCTATGTATTCAATTTCAGATCTATTAAAATGATGTGTTTGTGTGTGTATCATATTTATATTATAATATTTTAGTATCATAATGTATTTCACTTTTAAATGATAAATAATAATAATATTTTTAATATGATGTTAAGAGAATTGAGTGTTATACAATAAAGTGTTTTAAATAGGAATTAAAATGTTATTTGATCCTTATTAAAGTACTAAAAAAATATCCAAATGTTTTTGAAAATTATTTACTATCTTAACTCACCTAAATTAGCCATGCATGCAATAACTCTTAAGATTAAAAATAATTTGCCAAAAATGATTAGTATATTGAATAGTGAATAGAACATTGGATTCATAATTAGTCTCCTTAATTAATAGATAAATTAACGATTAATTAAAAATTAAAATACAATAACCTTCATAAATTGCATTAAATTTTGAAATTAACTTACTATTTTACATATTAAAAAACAATTTACAATAATCATTAAAATTAATAATTATATTTGCAATTACTGATAGTCTGATGCTTAGTTATTTAAACATTCCATAATCATAATTTTAAAAGATTATTCAAAATCAACATGTGAGCACATTCAAAAGAAATATTCCATTTTTTTTAGAATATTTACCAATTTTAATAATTAAAATATATTTAAATTAATTATTAAGAGAGTTAAATATTAAAATAATTTATTTAAAAAAGCTTAAGAGGTAAAAATATGATATACATGAAAATTAAAATCAATTAATTAAGTGCTGAAAAAAATTAAAATATTATATG